TTGACTCGTAGGGCTTGGAAGAGCGACTCCGTGTATGCTTGATTTAGATTTCGGACGTCAACACACAAAACAATCTTCCGTTGTCGCAACGAGGCGTTTGACAAGGTCAAGGCTACGATGTCAATTCTTGCCACAAAGGCCCATTGATCGAATGAAGGAACTTGAAGTGAGGAACACATCAATAACGACCTGATGCTGCTGATCTAGGAGGATGAGAGCGTCCGCTTCCATGAATGGGCAAGACTTCTCCTTCATCTGGGCTTAGAAGACGTCGATCCAGCTGATGAGGAAACCGTTGAGAAGATGAAGTGATGTGCATGTTCGAAAGATGTTGCTTCAAACAGAAAGAGTAGCCGTCAGTTATTGTGTTCAGCAGAAGTTATTCGGAGAGCAGATAATTGTTAACAACACTTGCACAGATAGGCTTAGCGGGGAGGCTGTGCTCAGCCTCTGGGCGTCAAATCACTTACGGCCGAAGCATAAGGCAAATGGAGCTCCCTTGGCTCGAGGCTGCTCCTGGCGATTAGCTTCCTACCGTGGCAATGCCTCGACGAAGATCGGGAGTAGAGTCTAGTCGTCAGATAGGAAATTTCCGAGGTGTGGTATGTGATACAGACAGAAACTCGACGGGCGAGCGATAGAAGATCATGCGCTGGGATAAGAGCGCGCGCCATTCTGATCGATTATTTTTCATATCGGTGTCGACATCTCGGTCAGTCAGTAGCGACAATCTCAGATTACATTCATTCAAGCGCTTGTCTTGAACAGTTCTACGTTAGAATTCAGAAAGACATGTCTCCTAGTCCTGCCCAGCAGACTTCGAGTATGACAGCCACTACTACTACGTCCAACAACAACAGGGTTATACCTCGTGCCCCCTCGAGTAGCCCGTGGTCCGCTGCTGCTGGTGGTGGTGGAGGGGCCTGGGGATCGGACACTATGTCTGCTCAACAGCTGATGGCTGTGGGAGCTGATATCAGTGGGGAGAACCTGTAATACAGTCTTGGAGGAATATATGTTCGCTTTCCTCAGCTTAGGAGTTTCCTCAATAGTACATACGAATTCTGATTAGAGTGCATAAAAATAATAAAAAATTCCCGAAAATTTTCTCGGAATTTTCACATTTTGACCAAAATACGTAGTTGACCATGTGTATATATTTCCTCACCCTGCTCTGGCATAATGCATGAAGAAGCTGAGAGTAATACATTGCTCCTCGCGCTTAGTTTTTTCCAAGTTGGCGAATATTCAATTAACAGTGACGGTCTCAATTCTCTGGCTAGTCCTACAGCGGAAGCGCTAATCTGTGGCGGTGTCTCAAAGTGTTGATGAAATTGCAATTTCTACTCGGTATGATATGATAGAAAAATCATGAGCATTGATAAAATGATTCTGTTTTTCTCTCAGAATATATGCTATTTATACTCGTTTGAAAAATTTCACGGCGTTATTTGTTTTTCGTTTGCCAGCGATGAGACCATCTGTGCTACGTAGTGGAGTGTAGTGTAGGTGGAAAATATGCACATGGTCAACGACATGTGTTGATATATGTGTTTCTAACTATTTCTACCCTAATACGTATAGTCATGGAGGAGAATCCTGAGCTCAGCTGGGGAAAGCAAACATATATTCCTCCAGTCCTGATCTGGTGCTCATCAAAAGTGTGTGGCATCGACGGGCATGTATTTTTTTTCAGAGCAAAATTAATGGCGTTTGAGAAAAACAAGGATGAGAAGAGCGCTCGTGGTATGTTGGTCGCTCTCTCGGACCCCGACCTCGCTGAGCTGAAGATGCGTGCTGTGAATTCCTTGGAGTCTGTGGTGAAAGACACATCTCAGGTGTGGTGGAAAGAGGTCGGATTAGTTGGCATTTTCCGCATGGTAGGTTCATACACGTATGATGAAGTTGGAAAGCAGCATCAAGGCTCTGGCGGCTGAGGCTAAGTCCCAACAGAAGGAGCATGAACAGTCTGCTGCTCGGGCTACCACGGCTAAGTCGACTACTGCTGCTGCTGGACACAGCAGTAAGAGGTGAGCTACTCAGGGGAGGTATGTGTAGATAGTGATAGCACTGGAGTTTCACCCGTCTTGCGTCAAGTGGCGAAGTAATACTCTGTGAAAGAGCCGATATTCGCGGTGATATGCAGTGGTTTGTGAGATATGATTTTTACTAGTGTTTTTTCATAAAGCTCCAATATGCGATTTTCACCCTACTTTATCCATGTGTATTTGATATCACATATTACCTCATTAGCGGTCTTATATTGTACATGTAAGTTGTTAATCAGTGGGTGAGAAATGCAAACCTTGAGAGTGTATAGCATGAACACAAATTGCCGTCTGTCGCGGCATTTTTCTATTTTTTCATCAGAAGTGCTAGTCGCTCTATCGGCCCTAGTATCGGTAGCAAGTTGAAGGACTTGCAGTTGGAGTTCTCCAAGTTGGGGAAGAAAAAAGGTACTTGCAATCGACTTAGTCGTTTTACCCCTTTTTTCTTCAGCTGACTGCATTGCTCACACTAAAGCTCTCGAGATTGCCAAGGTTACTGTTGAGGAAGAGGTAGCATGAGGGTGCGTCGCTCCGCTAAGAAAATTGCGCTTTTTTCCAGTTGGATTGTCGGGATACATGCGCGTCATTAAAACTGCCCCGTGGTCGTTATGAGGAGATGAGGCTAGTCATTCCGGCGGAAAAAGTGCAGCGTTCTCGAGGTAAGCAATTTCTTAGCGGAGCGAAGCTCAGAAGAATTAAAATATGTGGGGTCATAGTTTTGCTGAAATTGTCACGAGCAGACAAGTTTTAGGGCCTGTGGCAGGGTCGGTGTTGGAGTAGGAATATATGTTCGCTTTCCTCAGCTGAGCTCAGGAGTTTCCTCACTCGTTGTAGAGTAGGGTAGAAGTGTACAAAAACTTTTGTAAATTTCCTTGCTGCCACAAACACACGTATTTGAATATGTGTGTATTCTCCCTTACTGTGCAAGGCAGACTTGAACATTCTGTCAGGACGTAACGGTGCGAATTTCCGTCGTCTGGCGAACCAGTTTGGAGTGTTGGTGGACGAAGTAGAGCAGCAGCAGCAGCCTCAGCAGCAGTACTCTCAGAGTGATGCTACTGGAGGGAGTGGTGATGAGGGAGGGCCGCTCATAGTGAAGATAAGGGGAGAGAAGAAGAGGGTAGCTGATTGCTATGCTGAGCTCAAGCATGAAGTTTGTGAAGAGGTAGTGCGGGTAGTTTAGGAATCGGATGGTCGTGGGTTCGAATATCGGAGAGGGCATTTTTTACCGCCTTCCTCGTTGTTTGGTGCATTCGAGTCGTACTGTCCTAGTAACAACAATCCATATCAGAACTTGTCTATGGATTCAGTATTCGATGCCCTCGGTATAGCACTTGAGCTGAATTCTCCTAATACTTGAGGACGCTAGAAGTGCATTATCATCATGGTGTTAGATTCGGTACTACCGTGATTTGGACAATACTCAGCTGCAAGCTATGGCCTTCTTCGCTAAGTACATCGAGAAGGAGATAGAGGAGCGGTATGAATGGGTTAGTTGTCGACTAGTAGTGATGTTCAAGGAAAAGCAGGTGGGTGAAATCGATGCTTCGCTCCGCTAGGAATTTGTGCTGCCTTTTGACAGGTTTTGATGAAGCTAGCTGATATGGGCTCTGATGATAAGCAAAAGACTTCTAGTGGAAGAACGGACTCAAAATTGCGTAACGTGTTTGATAGAGTGAAGAGAGCCATCGCAGATCGGCTGAACGGTAATACGGGCGTAGGTTGAAGGCATGTTGCCGATGAGGTTAGTGCGTCAAAACTCCTGGGGTTCTGAGGTGTTGATGATGATGATGCTATGTTTTTCTAAGGCTATTCCACTGTCGAGCTCACAGCTAGAAACCAGGCTAGTGTCATTATCGGTAGAGGCGGGCAGAACATCGAGAAGCTCAGGGTAGCGTGGTAGAATTTCGTGGCGCGTGACGGAATTTTCATCACTAGGTGGAGACTGGTTGTTTCCTATACATTGAGAATCCCTCTGGAGTGTCGACTCGACAGTCCTCTCCAAGCGGTGATAGTGGTGATGCTATGAATGAGGCACAATACGGGTCGTTGAGGATTATAGGGAAGAAAAAAGAGTAAGTCTGAGGGATAGCTGTTTGTGGCTGGGAGAAACTCAGATTCGATGTTCTGCCGGAATTACATTGAACGTATTTCATCAAAAGCAAAGTGGAAAAGTGGAATTTTTAACATCGGGAGAATATGTTCGCTTTCCTCAGTGAACTTGAGTATTTCCTCACTAACTATACACGTTCACATACGAATCGGAATGCAAATGTACAGGTATCGACGAAATTTTCCCAAAATTTCCTCAAAATTTGCATATCGTCAGCAACATATGTGGTTAACCATGTACGTATTTTCCCACACTGGTATTTTTCTTGAGAAATGTGAGGAAATTATTAAAAAATTCTGACTGAATTTACCTGGAAATGATGTAGAGTAGTTGGTGTTATTGAAATAGGAGAAAAATGATGGGTGGTGGGATCGAACCTGCGTGTATTGACATGTTGTTGTCAGTCTGAGTGCCGCTAAGGATATCGTGATGAAGTTCGTAGAGTCCCAGAAGAGGTCAACCCTTGTGTAAGTGATTGCATTTGGCATCACACCTCGAGGCCATATGGTGGGGCATCAGGTGGCGTCTTGATGAGGAGGTTGACGCAGAAGACCTCATTGAGTGCATATGGGACAGAAGGACGGTGAAGCGTGATCCTGCTGCTTCCTTCGGCAATGTAGTCCGTGCGCCATGCCAGGTGAGTAACACTCACGGCATACGCACAAGTAGCTTCCTTTTCAGTATGGTCTCACGGGTTACCGTCGGCGTCTAAGGGATGCAGGGCTAATGTTGAGGGTTGAACTTGATGATGGTAGATTTGGTAGTAGCCGGCGTCAAGCTATGCATACTGGGGATCCATCGAAAGATGCTGCGGCGAGTGGTCATGTTGAGGTTGGTGGGGCCTCTCTGGTTGGGG